TGAAGACTAAAAAGGAATTAGCTAGCCTGCCTCTTGTGTGTGTGTGTGTGTGTGTGTGTGTGTGTGTGTGTATAAGGTATTGCAGAGGGAACTGAATGTGTAAAAGCACAAAAGCAGGAAAGGGAATTTAGATAATTCTAGGAACTGAATAAAGACCAGTGTGGCTGGGATGCTGTGAAATAAGGAGTGGTGATGTAATAGGGGTTCAGAGGCCATGCCAAAGGTTTGGGACTGCCAGCTGGTGTGAAGAGGAAAGGATTTTTCTTCCCTTTTATTACCTTCCCAGACAGCCAGTCTCAACCTTACCTCAATCAAAAGTAGTTTAAGGATAATGCAATTTCCTCCATTCTACAATGAAAACATTAAAGAACAAGCTTACTTTCTGGACACAGAAAGGTTTTTGGGGTTTTTTGTTTGTTTGTTTGTTTGTTTTGTAGAAATTTTGTAAATTCAAAATGCATTATTTGTCTCTTGGGACTGGAGCATCCAGGTCTTACTGTGTTTACCTACAGAATAATAGATTATTTATTGTTGGTTAATTCCTTTTGTTTCCCACAAGAAAGGGAAAACAATGATTAATTATATGGTGAGTGTTGGGTGGTCTTAAGGCCTAGAAAGGAGATCTGATTGAGAGTGTCCTGTAACAGTGGTACTACTTACTCTTATGAGAAAGAGCAGTAGAAGAAAAGACTAGGAGAGGGAAATTCAGAGTTTTCTTTCTTTTTTTCTTTTTTTAAATTCTTTTTGACATCTTAAGTTTGATATGTGTGTTAGACTTACAAGGGGAGATTCCAAATAGGGATTTGTGAGGTAAACCAGGATGCCAGGGCTAAAAATAAAAACTTGGGAACCATTAGCCTATAAATGGTATTAAGGCAATGAGAATGGTTGACATCATATGAGAACAACACGTAGATGGAAAAGTGAAAGGGGCCCATGTCTTAGCCTTAGCTCCAGTCTTACTGGTCCTACAGAGGAGAAGGAGGTTCAGAAGGAGACTGAGAAGCAACTGGTAAGGAAGGAGGAAAACTAGAGGAATGCATTGTCACAGAAGCCAAGGGAAGAGAGTGTCATTGATAATAAATATGGAGGAAGTTTAAAAGCTTCAGGGAAATATAAGAATCCAGATGTCTCTATTTTATTACCAGGTCTATTGTGAAATGTAAGCTTAGTGTTTTTTATAAACTTTTTTCTCACTCACCACTTAGATATACATAGACACATTCCTAGTTACTGTTTTAGTTGTGATCCTCCCCAGCGCTGTTCAGACTCGAGGTGGATTCTGGTAGGTTTCCTGCCCCTGATGGTTTAGCAGTCCCTTCCACACCATGATCTCTTTTTCTTGCTGGTTTTGGGCATCCTAGATGTTGAAAACATTTCTTTACCTGTGCTGACTTCCAGAGTATTCCTTCTTCCCCTCTGAAAGACCTTGAAAGTCTTATTTTTGTCTTGCTTACCTTGATGAGGAAGTTACTCTCTTACTTACTCAAAGAGGTTCCTCTCAAACTTCAGGCCAGCTTGCATTGATATGGCAGTAACTCTCTTCTCTTTTCTTTGATGCCTTTTGACTTTATTCCTGGAAGTCTTTCTTTCCCCTGATCAAATTTCTCAGCCCTGTCCTGTTTCACTGACTGAAATGTAATTAATAGTCAGTATTTGAGATTAATTTAACTTCGGTGAATTTCATTCTGCTCATCTATTGTTTGCAGCCATTATTTCAGGTCTTCCCTGCTCTAACTCTTCCATCCCTTCCATTGAATCTTGAGGTCTTGAGAGCTGGTCTTCACTACATAGTCTCTAGCACTGGGGCTGTCTCCAAAAGTCCTGGGCTGTTTAAAAGTTTGTACTTACTTGAAAAAATCATTTAACATTTTAGAAGATTTTAATCGGCTTAAAAATCACAAAATAATACACTATTACTATAACTATTTAAACAATCCAGAGATATATAGAGGAAATCATGGGATACAAAAGTTAGAGTCTCTCACAGTGGATATAGGTAAAATAGTTCTCTAAGGTGATGACAAAGGAAGTCCCAACAATTGCTGTGCATCAGCATAGAAAATATCAGCTTAGGATGGAATATGAAGTCAGTTGTTCCACAAATCATGTCTCTAGAAGAACATGAAGCTGATAAATTATGTAGCAGACTTGACTGGGTGGAAAATTATATTGAAATCATTTTTTGCAGAGCTAGTGGAGGGTGTGGGAAGATAGTCGGATGTTCAATGAAAACAAAGCAAAGGGGAAAATAAGGCAATTAACTCCAAGAAAAACTGAAAACTATACAAGAAGGTAAATGATATCATTATTCCTTCTATGCTCAGAAACCAGTGTATTTTAGATGGTCGTAATGATGAAAGCATTTGAATAAATACTTAACCAAAATTGAGATGGCTTTATATTAAGAGGATGCGGTGGGGGAAAGGATGAATCTCTAAACAAATAAGAAGTCAATATGTAATGTGTTTTTTGTGTGATGTGTGGAGAAGGAGAAGTATGGGAGAGGGGAATATAAAATAGGAGACTGTAGTTTGTTGTTATATGCATTTTAAAGCATTATTTGAATTTTAGCTATTTATAGATAAAATTGATCAAATTTAATCAAAAGCAAAAATAATGCAGCAGAGCTACATATTTTGAAGTTGGAAAGCTGTTTAAGAAATATTCTTAAGCAAAAAACCCCCCACAAATTCCAAAACAAATTTTCATTATGGTAAAAAGTTATTATTTTAATATAGAAATATTCCCAAACCCGGGGAAAGAAATGGATATCCAGATTCATGAAACCTAAAGGATCCCAAATAAGTTGCCCCTAAATAGGTCTTACACCAAGACACATTATAATTAAATTGTTGAAAGTCAGAGAGAGAATTCTGAAAGCAGCAAGAGAGAAGTGACTTGTCAAATACAAGGAACTCCCCATAAAACTGTCAGTGGGTTTCTTAAAAGTAACCTTGCAGGCCAGGAGGGAGTGGGATGATATGTTTAAAATGCTGCCAAAAGACAGTTGCCAACAAGATTATTATACCTGGCAAAACTGTCCTTTAAAAATGAAGGAGAGATAAATACTTTCCCAGACAAACAAAAATTGAGGGAATTCATCATCACTGGGCCTGCCTTCATGTTGAACTTACAGGATGCTGAACAGCAACCACCAAGACATAGGAAGGTATAAATCTCATTGCTAAAGGTAAGCAGAGACAGCTGCTGACTTACGATGGTTTAACTTAATTTTTTTTAACTCTTTTGTGAAAGTGGTATGCATTCAGTAGAAACCATACTTTGAATTTTGAAGTTTGATCTTTCCCGGGCTAACGATATGTGGTATTCTACTCTTGTAATACGGGGCTGCTGCAGCCCCCAGTCAGTCACATGATCTTGAGGGTAAACAGCTGATATACTTACAACCATTCTGCATGTATATAATCATTCTTTTTTCACTTTCAGTACAGAATTCAATAACTTACATCAGACAGTCAACACTTTATTAAAAAATGAGCTTTATGTTAGATGATTTTGCCCAACTGTAGGCTAACATATGTGTTCTGAACATATTTAAGGTAGACTAGGCTAAGCTATGATGTTTGGTAGATTAAATGTATTAAATGTATTTTCTGCTTATAATATATTCAACTTACATTGGGGTTTTTTGGGGACATAACCGCATTGTAAGTTGAGAAAGATAGATTGAAGTTGTCTGTAGATAGACAACTGCAGAATAATGTAATACTGTAATGGTGGTGCATAAATCACTTTTAACTCTACTATTAAAGTTAAAATATAAAGATATTAAAATGACTATTAACAGCAGTCTGTTAATGGATACACAATTTAAAAAATGTGAATTATGACATCAATAGCATAAAGGATGAGAAAGAAAAATGAAAAGCTTTTGTATGCAACTAAAGTTAAACTATGATCAGCTTAAAATAGACTGTTAAGGATATTTTGTGTAAGCCTCAGGGAAACCACAAAGAAAATACCTAAAGAAGATACACAAAAGAAAAAGAGAAAGAAATAAAATGATATCAGTATAAAAATTCATCAAATCACAGAGGAAGAGAGCAAGAGAGGAAGAGAACAAAAGAACTACAAAATAGGAAATAGATAGAAAATAGAAAAAATTTAACAAATGGCTGTAATAAGAACTTACATATCAATAATTACTTATCAATTTAAATGCAAATGGATCAAACTTCCCAATCAAAAGCCTTAGAATGCTTAAACGGATAAAATAGCAAGATCCAACTATATCCTTTCTACAAGAGACTCACTTTAGGTTTAAGGACAGACATAGGCTGATAGTAAAGGGATGGAAAAAGATATTCTATGCAAACGATAACAGGAAATGAAAGGGCGCTCAACATCACTAATCGTCAAGGAAATGCAAGTCAAAACCACAGCGAGACATCATCTCACACCTTTTAGGATGGCTATTACTAAAAACATCAAAAGATAAGCTTTGGTGAGAATGTGGAGAAAGGAGAACCCTTGTACACTGTTGGAATGTAAATTGGTGCAGCTACTGTGGAAAACAGTATGGAGTTTCCTGAAAAAAAAAAAAAACTACTGTATGATCCAGCAATTCTACTTCTGAGTGTCTATCAAAAGGATATGAAATTCATGGATGAACCTGGATTATATCACTTAGCATAGTGAAATAATCCAGACATAGAAGAACAAATACTACGTAATCCTATTTACATGAGGAATCTAAAATAATTAAACTTGTAGAAGCAGAGAGGAGAATGGTGGTTACCAGGGGATAGAAGAAGCTGGAACAGGGAAGGTAGAATAGGGAAGGTGCAGGTCAAAGGATAGAAAGTTTCAGAGTTTCAGTTACACAAGAGGAGCAAGTCCCAGAGATTTACTGCCTAGCATAGTGCCTATAGTTAACAATATTTCATTTTCTACTTAAAAATTTAAGAGGGTAGACTTTTTTTTTCTTTTTTCTTTTTTTAATCGAAGTGTAGTTGATTTATAATGTTTTAGTTTCTGGTGTACAGCAAAGTCGTTCAGTTATACACATTTCAATATAGATTATTACAAGCTATTGAATATAGTTCCTGTGCTATACAGTAGGACCTAGCTGTTTACTATTTTGTATATAGTAGGTAGTATCTGATAATCCCGTGCTATCCAAAGCCATGTAGACTCAAGTTTTATCCTGAATACATTGAGAAGTCTTGCTGGATTTTAAGCAGAGTAGTGAAGGATCTGACTTATATTAAAAACATTACTTTGGCTGTGTCATGTAGAATGGGTTGGAGGCAGCCAAGAGCAAAAGTTGGGGAGAGTTGCTTGGAGTTGATTGTAGTATTTCATGTTGAGATGATAATGGTTGTATATAGAATGGTGGTTGAAGATTTGGAGAAGAGTAGATACGTCCACTATTTGGAGGTAGAGTCCAAAGGGCCTGGTGATAGAAAAGTTGAAGCCAAGGATAACTCAGGTTCCTGATTTCAGTAAGCGGGCTGATGTACTTCTATCCTCCTTTTTCGGTCTAGAAGACCAAAACTCCAAGAGGTTAGGTAACATGTCCCAGGAGGTATATCTGGTAAATGATGTATCAGGATTTGAGCATGGGCCCGTTCAACTCCAGAGGCAACACATGTAACCACCAGACTGTACTCTCTCCCAGTGAGTCAAAATCCTTCTGCTTTCTAAAAGGAGAGAAGTGGTTGTCTTCTGAACTATAATCTTCTGCCAACCATGACTCCATTTGCTCAGTTACCAAAGGAAAATTCACCATCCATGCATGTTACCTGACGTACTGTCTGGCCTGGAGCAGATTAGAAAATGCTCTTTGCATCATATGCTGGAAATGATGTTATTCCTTGGATGGTTGACCAAGGTAAGCAGGTTCAAGTCTGAAGGACTGGAAGTGATAATCCTAGCTATTCAAATTCTGTTGCCAGGCAGAAACTAAGCTCTGTTCTCTCATAGGATCAGGAGAAGAAGTGTCATTCCTGAATTCTTTTGAGGTCTTTCAGCAACTTTTATGACATGGTGAAGGGTGGTTTACATGGAGTAAATGGGCTTCCTATAACGGGAAAGAGAAAAATAAAGTAGGTCAGTAGGGACCAGAACCTCTTGTGGCTACAGAGGAGGTATGGAGAGTGCTAATAGGCAGATAGGGATATTGATAGGATAAGGCAGGATTTAAATTAAAAAACAAGTAGGTTAAACACTCAGTTTTGTGTAATGATCCTAATACAAGAGAGCTTCTTGGATATGTTTTGGGGATGTCCTGAGACTTTCTGTATCCTTATGGTATTTGTGCATCTGTAAAACGGCTTCTTTACTTTTATTATGTTTGCAAAGTCATAGGTCTGAGGAGAGAGTTAAGAATCTAAGAATAGGGGGCAATCATGGGCTTACCTCTTTGTGTTGATGAACTTTAGAGTAAATTGTGGGGGAATCACTGTTTTTCAAAGGTGTTCGGATTTCTGTTCCCTGCAAAACATAATCATACTGCTCTGGCTCACACAGACAGTGAGAATACGTACATATGCAGAGATATATTCTGGGGAAAGGCAGTGTGACAAAGGAGAAATTATGTCAAAATTCTTCAGGAGGAAGGCTAGGGAGTGTTTAGCAAGAGTAACTGGAAACCAAGCACCACCAGCTCTCAAACCTGTGAAGGATTAGTCACCTTTCCTGAGCCCCAGACAGAAGTACAACACCCCAGCAAACTAGGGGGTGGGCTTGAGAACCAGAGCGAGATGGAAGGGTGGCCTTGTTGGCAGGTGACGTGAAGGAAAGAAAGCACTCTTGCCCTGCATCCTACCCTACTCTGCCTCCTCCAAGTTTCAAGAACTAACTTGCACACCAGATGGTTATTGTGTTATATCTTTTGTCTCAGATCTTTACTAACTGTAACAGCAGGTATCACCGGCTCTGTTTTGCCCCTGTGATTCTAATTGCCTGGTCATCACATCATTGGAGTCTACTCAAACTTGGGGAACTGGTAGAATAGAAACATTTGGTCTTAATAATGGCCCTGTGTGGAATACAAAGTCCAGCCATAAAAGAAGTCCCCATGTTCATAGTTTTTACTTGAAAGTTTCAGAGGATTTGATAATAACCTAAATACTCCTTAATTTATTGAAAATGTCACAATGCTTTGCTAAAGAAAAAGTTAACAGATTTGCTGGAGATGAGTTTCTTGGTTTGTTGAGAATGATTCACCTTGTTTCCAAGAGGAAACTGAGAAAACAGTTGAAATATCTGAAAAAGTGAGAGCACCTCTTTTTGTTTGCTATCTTCAAGAAGCCTACTTTGCAAATACCCATGAGGGGCTTTTTGAGGGGAGATCTGCTCATGGAATCCAAGATTTCTAGCTAAACCATTGCTTCCATCAGTTGAAGAATGCTAGGCTCTCTTGGCTTATTTTTCAGAAGACACGGAAAACTGGCCTCCCAGGATGTGTGGTGTTATTTAGAAATCTATCACTTGTAGGTGTTTTATTTTTGGGTTGATGGGGAGTTACTGATGCATGGCAAGGAGTTCCTGATGCCTGACCAAGGCCATCCTGTTACGTGCTAGAGGGGAGGGGATGTTTGTGGGCTGCTTGTGCCTTTAGTGTCCGCTACTATTGAGGGATTACAAATTTTTGTTTCTCTTTCCCTCTGAAAAGACTCTTCTGAGCACCCCTATTTCCCCTACTTCCAGGATGAGACACCCCCTACTACAGAATTACCTCCTTTGGGAACTCTCAAACTTAATTAAGCTCTGATTCATCCAGCAAATATTTACTGAGCATCGTGCTAAGACACAGGGGAAGAAAGAGGAAGACATAATTTTCACTTCCAGGCAGCTTGTAATTAAGCTGAAGGGACAAGGCTTACTGATGCATTAAGCAGTTAGATGAGGCCCTGTAAAGCAGGGTATAAGTAAGCATTCCGCTGGTGTGAGAGCAGTGGGGGCTAGAAAGTTCCTGCACATAACTCTGCAGCTCCTGTTGCTGCCTTAGCCTCCTCTCAATGGTGTATGTCATTTGAACCAGTCAGATGATTGTGGTGACAAGTTCTTGAATAATGGCTATAAAAATAATGACCATGATGGAGTATAAAGTTGAAAGTACTCACCCTGTTTGCAGGGGTGACCTGGGCATACACAGTGTTCCCTGAAGAGAAAGAAGCATACTCTAAGTTCCTCCTGGTCTCTGCTATATTAACACAGGAAGGCACAGTCAGTGGCTGAATGAAGGACTCTGGTCTGTTCTCCCAGGGCCTTGCCTACATCAGGTCACTTTCTGGCTCCAGGGAGGCAGTTGTTCAAAGCATTGCCCTTCCTTAGGGTTCATTCATTTTTGACAGTCTTTAGAGTTCTAGGTTGAACCAGAACCTGCTCAGCCATGTAATCTATTTCTGACCTCACCTCTTGGGGGTGACATGGTCTTGAGGTACCCCAGCTTCAGAGTCTCCCTCTAGATTCACAGGAAGGGAAGCTTCTGGGACCAAACAGTGGTGTCTACACACTTGCTAGAGAACCTCACTGGCGGGGATAATGGAGCCAGGCTGTTTCACATGTATAATACTGTTAAACTTCTCAGAGCTCCTTGGAGTGGGTTTGATTATATTAGAAATAAGGAACTGGAGGTTCAGAAGGTTTTACTGACGTGGACCAAATGCACATAGAAGTGATGGCACAGGAATTTAAATGCATGCCTTCTGATTCCAAACCTCATGCCATGTCCTCTGTACATGAAGTCATGTATCTCTCACCCATGAGATGAGACTCAAAGCCAATCTAAGTCCAGAGCCCGTGTTCCTATCTCTGTATCATACTCTCTCCTTTGACTTTGTCTACTCAATGTCCAAGCCCTGGCTGAACAGAGTGATGGGGTCATGCGGTTTCTCTTTGGGACTCTGATGCTCTGCTCCTGTCGTACACTGCACCTGCTATTGACGATGGGCAGGCCATGAGCCCTGTCACTGATACTTAGTCTCTCCACCAGCAGGGCGGGGAATGACCCTAAGCCCACTCCAAGAAATTGCATGAGTGACTTGTTTGCATTCTTGTAAGGGACCTTGTAGGTCCCACAAGGGACAAACGTGCACAGTTTCAGGTCATCTCCCTTTGCGCCATCTCGTCCATCTGAGTAATGACATTCCGACTCCCTTCTCTCTCATTATCCAGCCCTCTGACTGGCCCCCTTCCTCTTCCATTTGGCTCTTCCCATCTGTTTTAGGACTGGGAGTTTAGAGTCTGGAAACTCACCAGGACTCTGTGTTTGCCGAGTAGACAAATGGAAGAAACCTGAAAAATAAAATCAGTGAAACTGAAATTTGTGACGGTAGTGAGAGAGGCATTCCACCCCCTACTCCCACGGGTCTCTCTCTAGAGCGTGTGGTGGAAGGGAACCCGAAAGGGAAGAGCAGGCAGGACCTGAGGCTGGGTCCTGCATTTTCCAGTAGGACACCTTCCTTAGGAGACTAGCACATGAGTATTCACAACCTGAGTGTTGTCCCAGTGAACTAGTTGGGCCAGTCCCTCCTCCCTTTATCTGTCTCCCACAGGAGAGAGTCTGAGTTTCTGGAACCTTGGAGGAGAGACAAGTAGGAAGAAAGGAAACCTGTTAATCTTCCCTTCCGAACAAGCAGCCACACAAAGATGACTATGACGACTATACATATCAAAGAAAGCACAATTATAATCCATCTGATATCCATGTGTTCACTTTCTTCATTAATAACATCTGAAAAGAAAAAAGAAAGAAATTGCACTTGAGACACATTGAGTGAGGCCCAGAATGTTTTTTTAGAACCTGTACCATGCCAAGTCTTCGAGGCCACGTTTAGGTGCCAGGTGGGTTCATCGATACCCAGAGACACGCGGGGTCTGGGCAGGCTTTCTGGAAGTGGGAGTCCCATATGGCAGACAGGGCAGGGTGCAGCCTGGTAGAGCTGGGGCAGGAAGCAATCCTGCCGTTCCAAGGACTTTGCTCTTGGGCTTTGAGTGGGCTGGAGAAAGGGTTGATGGAGGGGGAGGGGAGTAGGAGAGACTTGTAGGGAGAAGTGAGAAGCACAGAGCTCTGGAATGCATCTGTCCTCTCCCAGCATCTCTTGGCTGCCTCCCACTGGGCCACTGTTTTGGGAATCCTGTAGGGCATGAGGGACACGCTGTACCCGACGGCTGCTCAAGGCTCTCAGAGAGACCTGTTCAGACTATTACCTTTGCAGAGACTCTGCAAAGGGACAGAGAAGGATGAACTGCTGACAGGATTCTCAGCTATGCAAGTGTAGGTCTCTTCACTGCCATTTTTGGGGTCCCAGGAGACAGTGAGGTTTGCTTCCCTCAGAAGTGTTTTTCCTGAGATCTGCCACCTGAATATGACGTCATTTGGATTCTCCACAGAGCAAGTCAGGTGGATCTCACAGGTCACATTGCTAGGCCTTTCAATGTGAGTGACAACTTGTAAGTTCCTCAGTCGTCCTGTATGCAGGAAAAAAAAGCCTGGATTAAGGACAGATGGCTTGGCTCAGCCCTCTGTGAAAAATATCCCTCACCTCAACGTTCTGCATTCCACCTGATACTGCTATATACTCTGTAAAGATCTCTGCTTGTTCTTCCTAATTGATGGGAATGAGGTCTGGGGTGACCAGATGATGATGACCATCAGTATGTGACAGAGTAGCCAGTGGGAAAAGTGGGAAGGCAAAGACTGGGGTTGCCACCGACTAGTTGAGTGATTTGGGGCTGATCACTTTAGTTTTCTGAGCTCCAGTTTATCCCTGGGGTCCTTTCTAGCCCTTGTTCACTGTCCTTTGTGTAAAGGTAATTTACAGACTAAGCTAAAGGCCAGTCTTCCCTTAGCCAGGTCAGAAACCAGAAGACCAGGCACAAGAGCCCTGTTTCCTTCATCGTCAGACTTCCCTATCTGGAGTGGAAAATAGAAGCTTACCTTCCTTGGGGAACCATATTTCCCCAAAATCTGTGACAATATTGGTTCTCCTTGCATCTGATGCTGGCTCAAATGATGACAAGGAGACCTTGATGCAGAATGCCAGCAAGTCAGAAAGGGAAATGTTGAGAACTAAAGAATTAGGGAAGGAAGACTTAAAGAAACTGAGAGAGCAAGCAAACAATTGTGGGGAACAAAGAAATGCACTATATTTGGGCATTTGAGAATACATATGATGGAGAAATTTCTGAGAGCAGAGACCTAGTAAGATGACAGTAGCTGTGAATCAATGGGGACATGGAAGCAGTACAGAAAAGCCCACTGACCTAGACTTGGCCTGTGGGCTGAAATAAAGATGACCAAGTGAAGAGCAGAATGACTCCAACTGTCTGATTAGAAGAGACTGAGCAATGCTTTAAGCTTAGCAAACTGAGTAGAGGTGGCGAAACGTACCTTGCTAGAACAGAAGTTTCATGTAGCGGCAAGAGTGTTGGATATGAAGTTAGGAAGATCTAGGTTAGAATCATGGCTTTGTCATTTACTGGCTACATGACCATGGACAAATTTTAATCTCTTCATGCCTCACTCTCCTCATCTGTAAAACTGAGCAATAATACCTACTTCTTGGGTAATTATGAGAATTGAGTGAGAGAGTGCCTAGCATAGCAATGGCAAATTTGGCATGAATATTACATCTCCTTTAACCAATGTCCATTGCTGACCTCACAAATCTATCTTGATACATTTCTCCACTTGATGTATATATAGCTAGTTACTTGACATTTCCACCAGGATTTAATGTTTTTCTCCAATTCAACATGTTCAAAAGGACTCCTGTTTTTTCTCCCCCAAAACTTCTCAGTCTGCAGCTTTCCCTGTCTTAGCTGAGGACAACTGCATCCATCCAGTCGCCCAAGCCAAAAGCCCCAGAGTCCTCTCTGACTCATCTTTTCATCTCATTGTCCCACATGAGGAAGTCTTGGTGGCTTTACCTTCAAAATATATCCAGAATCCAACCACTTCTCACTATCTCCACTGCTACCACTCTGGTTCAAGCCAGCATTATCTCTTGCTTGGATTGTTGTAATGTCTTCCTAATGGGTCCAGTGGCTTCCACCCTTGTCCCTTGCAGTCTAATCTCAACAGAGCAGCCAAAGAGATCCTTTAAACAAGTAAGTCAAACCATATTAATTCTCTACAAAACCCTCTGATAGTTCTCTGTTCACTAAGAGTAGAGGCTGAGATCCCTGTGATGGCTCTCAGAGCCTTATACGATGAGGCCCCCTACTTCCTGAATGACCTCACTTCCTGTTACTCTCCCCCTCACTCTGCTTCTTGATGTTTGACATCCCTGGTGTTCCTTGAGCCTGCCAGACGCAGGGGAGTGCCTGTGCCATATGGCTGTGCATCCAGATATCTGCCTGGCTCACTCACCTACAACAGGTCTTGGCTCAAATGTCATCTTCTCAATGAGGCCCTGTTATGATCACTCCATTTAAAATTGACTCTGCTCTCTGGCACTCCTGATGCACCTTAAGCTGTTCTAATCTCTTTTCTCCATATTACTTTTGGCTTACTTACATACTGTGTCATTTGTTTATATATTGTGTATTGTTTACTATCTCCCCTGTATTCCCTACCTAGAATGTCAGCTCCATGAGGGCAGAGATCTTTGTCTGTTCTGCTCACTGATGTATTTCAAGTGCCTAAAACAGTGTCTCACCATTGCCCATGGTTAACAAATATTGTTGACTCAATGAATAAGATTAACATGGCTCTAACATATTTCTTAACATTGAGCCCTAGGCATTTACTCCCAATTAAGTGATATTGGCCTGTAAGATAAAATCTTTGCTATCCCTAGCCTGGAACGTACAGAATAACTGGTCAATGTTTTTAAAAAAAGAACTATATAGTTTATATCTTAACATTCCTTTGCACTATTGTAAAACATGTTGGTGTAGCTTACACATCTGTTTGTGTATGAGCCTTTGAAGGAGAGTTACTCCAAAAGGCTTTGAGAAATTTTTGGCATTGAGCCTCAGGAGTGTGACTGTTGCAGAAGTAGTGCTTGGTCCTTTAATAGTGGCAGAAGAAAATTGTCTCAACAAGTGTGATGGAGTCTGGTATGAGGTCTAGGAGTCACAAGATTTAGGTTCTAATCTCAGCTCTGTCACTAACTGCCATGCAATGCCACTGAATTGTTCTACTGCTGGACCTCAGTCTGTCTCCAAATGCCATGTTCTTGAGCACTAGACTGCAGTACACACTTGCAGTCACATTGAATTGAAACATGTAATGTTTTTCAGTCCATACATAATTAAACCCCAAGTTTGACTTACTGAAGATCCTCAGATCATAAGTGGACAACACTGAAGAGGTCACTGTGGTTATCTGGGCCTTGTAAGATCCTGCGTCTGCCATTGTCAGATTGCTGAGCTGCAAGGAGTGGGAATCAGTGACACTCAATCGATTTTTCCGTTGTGGATCAGTCACGTATTTTAGTGGACTTTGTTCTTCATTTAACTGTATGAAGGTGATAGACATTCCATTGTGAAGCCAGGTGATGGATGTTACATTCTCTTTTGCAGAAAAATTCAGGGGAAAAGTGACCGACTCCCCCAGAGCCCGGTTTACAATCAATGGGCTTGAGCTGGTTTGTGAAACTGTGTTCCCTGTGAACACAGAAAGGAGACTGCTATAACTTTCCCCACACTCCCCCTGCTCCCCGCACCCTTTCTCCTTACTTTGTCAAGTCTGTTGGAGCTCTCTGGTACAGAAGCTCAGAGATGTGATGAAGAGGGAAAGGATTAGGAGAAATGTTGAAATGGACAATCAAGGAGGCTCCATTCTCAACAAAATATCTGGCATTTTTGGTTAATGAGTAGTTGGTCCAGATGATCCTGGCCAGTCTACCCTCCCACACTGGCTGGTCACTCCTGGGTCATGGCCACACTATCTGGCCCCAGCCTCTGAGTTATCTGGGCATGAGATGGAGAGGGAAGACCGCATCAACTCCCTGCTGCAGATTCCAAATTCCACAAGTCTCTGTTGATGAAATATAATTAAAGCCCGACATTTACTAAATACTTACTGTGTTCAACATAGTAGACTTGTGAGACAGAGAATGAAAAATAAATATTTATAGTTCTTCTTATACATTGTTTCATTTGATGCCAACAACAATTCAGTGAGGTAGGATGAATATTATTATTGCCATTTATAGACAAGGAACTGAGGCACCGAGAGGTTAATTTTCCCAGGGTTACACAGTTAAAGAATAACAGAGTCAGGATTCAGACCCAACCACTTTGACTGTAAATATTTTTTGCTCTTTTCATGACACCAGAAGATATCTCTTCTGCTCTCAGAAAGATTATAGTCTAGCAGTTGAGGAGATAAAAACTGATAAGTATAAAAGCGATGCCTGTAACTTCAAAGTAGCATACAATGGCCATACTCTCATGAACTTATCTCAGAACCATTCACGTTTGAGCGAAAAAAGGTAAAATGGCTATAATCATTCTTAAAGAAGATGCTTCCTTAGCATCATTTGCCAAATTCCTAGCATTTATCAAACCATTTTGTAGTCCTCTGTTTACTTTTCTGTCAGCACTGTGCCTGACATGAAGTAGGATCTGGAGTGTTTGAGTGAATCAATGAATAACCATTGCCACAACCTCAGCCTTCTCAAGATCTCTTAGTTCTCAGGAGAGGATCTAAGTAGGGGAGGAAATGTCTCTTGAAAGTGTGATGCTCGGCTCCCGGGTAAGCTCACACTTCTCTCTGTCTTGAAATGTCATGTGCATGCCCATCACATGAACACCACAATCATCAAGTCCCCCTCTGTACTACATCTTTCCCATCAGCACTTTAAGAGGCTGTTATTTGTCATCTTGACCCTTCTTCCCTTTTGGAATCACATGGGTGAGTATCACAAACAAATATCTTTTTTTTTTGTCTGCAAAATTTTGTCATTTATTCTTTGGTTCAGTGATAGGCATCCTGTAAATTAGAGGTTGGTTAACATTTCCTATTAATTAGAGACAGAGATTAAATAGTATTTTAGCCTTTTAGTTATGTGGTATCCATCATAGCTACTCAAACTCTGCCTTTGTATCACAAAACCAACCATAGACAATAGGTAGACAAAATGGGTGTGGCTATTCCTCAACAAGAAAATCTTGAGCAAGAAAAAAAATCCAGATACAAATAGAACAAAATGGTATGCTTCCATTTACTTAAAGTTAAAAAAAGGCAAAACAAATCAATTCTTTTAGAAGTTGGGATAGACTACCGTTGAGAAGGAGGGAGGGACAGCAATTAGGAGAGAGCATAAAGCGGATATTCTGGGCTGCTGTTGACGTGCTATTTCTTAACCCGTGTTTGGATACACAGATTTATTTATTCTTTATATGATAATTTATCAAGCTGACACTTGGGATTTGTACAGTTTTCTCTTTGTATGCTCTATTTCAGTAAAAGAGGTTAAAAGTAACAACAGAAAACAAAATAGTTACAGTGATGTATAAGGACTGAGATGATCTGGTCATTTTTCTCTCTTTGACCTAATTTCCTATAACTTTCCCTCTCTTTCACTTTGTTCTCACTATGCTGGCCTGGCTATTCCTTGAACAGGCCAAGGTTGTACACTCACTTGTAATTCCCTCTTCCGGAATGCCCTTCCCCAGGTATCCACATGGCTCTCTCTTTCATCTCCATAAGGCCTTTAATGCAGACATTAAACATGCAGATTGTTTTCCTCTATTTTCCATAATCTCAAGGGTAGAGATTATGCTTATTATCTCTTTAATCCTAGCACTTAGAAAACTGGACAGTAGCATGTAAATCAATGAAGTTGGAACACTCCCTCATACCATACACAAAAATAAACTCAAAATGGCTTAAAGACTTAAACAAAAGACAGGACACTATAAACTTCTTAGAAGAAAACACAGGCAAAACATTATCTGACATAAATCTCAGCATTGTTGTCCCAGGGCAGGCTACCCAGGCAATAGAAATAAGAGCAAAAATAAACAAATGGAACCTAATTAAACTTATAAACTTTTGCACAGCAAAGGAAAGCATAAGCAAAACAAAAAGACAACCTACACAATGGGAGAAAATATTTGCAAATGATTTAATTTCTAGAATATAAAAACAGCTCATACAACTTAGCAACAACAACAAAACAACCCAATCCAAAAATGGGCAGAAGACCTAAAGAAGCAATTCTCCAGTGAAAACACACAAATGGCCAATAGGCACATGAAAAAATTATCAATAAACTAATTATCAGAGAAGTGCAAATCAAATCTAGTGAGGTATCACCCCACATCAGTCAGATTGGCCATCATTAAAAAGTCCACAAATGATAAATGCTGGAGAGAGTGTGCAGGAGAGGGAACCCTCCTACGTTGTTGGTGGGAATTTAGTTTGGTGCAGTCATTATGGAAAACAGTATGGAGATTCCTCACAAAACTAAAAATAGACTTACCATATGATCCACCATTCCCACTCCTGGGCATACATCCTGAGGGAACTCAAATTTGAAAAGATACATGTACCCTGATGCTCATAGCAGCACTATATACAATAGCCAAGACATGGAAACAACCTAAATGTCCATTGACAGATGACTGGATAAAGAAGCTGTGGTATATTTACATAATGGAATACTACTCAGCCATAAAAAGGAATTAAATAATGCCATTTGCAGTAACATGGATAGATCTGGACATGGTCATTCTAAGTGAAGTAAGCCAGAAAGAGCACTTATATGTGGAATCTAAAAAAAAAAAATGAACTTATTTGCAAAACAGAAACGGACTCATAGACATAGAAAACAAACTTATGGTTACCAGGGCAGGAAGGGAGTGAGAAAGGATAAATTGGGAGTTTGAGACTTGCAGATACTAACTAATATATATAAAATGGATAAACAGCAAGTTTATACTGTATAGCACAGAGAATCATATTCAATATCTTGTAATAACTTAATGAATGTGAAAAAGAATACGAAAATGAATAAATGTGTGCTCATGTATGACTGAAGCATTATGCTGTACACAAGAAATTGACACAATATTGTAAACTGACTATACTTCAATAAAAATATATATACAAAAAACTTTAAAAAAGAATGAATGATAAAATTTTTTTTAATTAAAAAAAAGTAGATAATGCTGTTCAGGGGAAGGAGAGTCATTGGATTACAATCTCTCAGCAGAAGAGTTTGCAAGTTTTTGATTCAAAACCTCAGAATCACTTGGCTGGCCCACATGTATTGGCTGTGTGTGCATTTCCTACCACTGTTATTTCTTGGGCATCAGGCTACCTATATCTGCTTCTTGCAGACACATTCAGAGAATTAGTTCTTATTTCTCCATCCCTCCAACCTCAATATGACTAAAGTCTCATGTGTGTGGTCCATGGAGCAGCATTGGAGTTACCTGGAAGCTTGTTATAAATGCAGAATCTTAGCCAGAATCAGCATTATAATAAGACTCCCTAATGGTTTGTATGCATATTAACATTTGACAAGTTCCCACCTAGAAAGAATAAAATGCAGAAACAAATGAGATTCATTTTCTCCAGGGCATAATGATGTCTGATTTCATTTATACCTATTAGGATTATTTCTTAACATGGTTTATCTTTTCAGCTAAATTTTCTAAAAGAGCAAGTTATTGTCTGACCCACTTGAAAGAATGTAGGCTGGCATGAGTTGTCTTCCTTCCTGTTTGTTTTCAAGATTGATTTTATTTGGGTCATACTCTTGTCACAGTGGTTTTCTTTCCCTTCCTTAATGACTTCAAACTCTTCCCTGCATCACAGCCTTGGCACATGTGATTCCCACTGCTTCAAATGCTTTTTTATTAAATTGAAGTATAGTTAAGTTACAATGCTGTATTGGTTTCTGGTGTATAGCAAACTGATTCAGTTATACATACATGGATTCTTTTTCATTA